AGGCAGCTAGTTACCTACAAGGGAGTTCTCATTAGGCTATCAGCTGATTTCTCAAAAGAAACTTTGCAGGCCAGAAGGGAGTGGCAAGAAACATTCAGAGTGATGAAAACCAAGAACCTACAACCAAAATTACTCTATCCTGCAAAGCTGTCATTTAGAATCGAAGGACATATAAAACCTTTCCCAGACAAGAAAAAGCTAAAGGAGTTCATCACTACCAAACCGTTATTATATGAAATGATGAAGGGTCTTTTTGAAGAAAAAGATAAAATGTATGAACAAACAAAATGGCAATGAATACATATCTATCAACAATGGAATCTACAAATAAAATGAATAGGTAGAACAGAAACAATCTCATAGATAACAGAGAACATTTTGTTGGTTGCCAGTTGGGAAGGGGGTTGAGGGAATGGGTGAAAAAGGTGAAGGGATTAAGAAGCACAAATTCATTGCTAGACTGACAAACCTCAAAGGGAAAGGGGTTTGGGGGGGTGGGAAGAAATAAACCAAAAAACTCATATGCATAACCAATGGACACAGACAGTAGTGTGGGAAAAGGTGGGAGGGGGGCGGGAGTGGGGAGGAGGGGGTCAATGGGGGAAAAATGTGGAACATCTGTAATACATTTTACATCCAACAATAAAGATTCAGAAAAAAAAAAAATAAATAAAATAAATGTAGAAAATGGAAAAAAAAAAAAAAAAGAATGGCCACTTTCGCCACGCTTATTTAACATAGTACTGGAAGTCTTAGCCACAGCAATCAGACATGAGGAAAAATAAAAGGGATCCAAATTGGAAAGGAGGAAGTGAAACTGTCATTATTTGAAGATGACATGATACTATACATAGAAAACCCCAAAGACTCCATCAAAAATTTACTAGACTTAATAAATGAATCTGGCAAAGTAGCAGGATATAAAATTAATGTCAAGAAATCGATGGCATTCTTATACACCAATGATGAACTCACAGAAGGAGAAACTGAAAAAACAATCCCATTTACCATCGCAGCAAAAATATTAAGATACCTAGGAATAAACCTAACCATAGAAATAAAGGACCTATTTGCAGAAACTACAGGTCATTGAAAAAAGAAATAGAGGAAGATATAAAAAAGTGGAAGCACATACCTTGTTCATGGATTGGAAGAATTAACATCATTAAAATGTCCATACTACCCAAAGCAATCTGTAAATTCAATGCAATCCCCATCAAAATACCAATGACATATTTCACAGAACTAGAACAAATACTTCAAAAGTTCATATGGAACCAAAAAAGACCTCAAATAACCACAGCAGTCTTGAGAAAGAAAAACAAAGTTGGAGGGATCACATTACCCGATTTCAGGTTATACTACAAAGCCACTGTAATCAAAACTGTCTGGTAATGGCACATGAACAGGCATGTATACCAGTGGAACAGAACAGAGAACCCAGAAATGGTCCCAAGGCAATATGCTCAATTAATATTTGACAAAGGGGGCAAGAGCATACAGTGGAGTAAAAACAGCCTTTCTAATAAATGGTGTTGGAAAAATTGGACAGCTACATGCAAAAAAATGAAACTAGACCATCAACTTACACCCTACACAAGAATAAACTCAAAATGGATAAAAGACTTAAATGTGACTCATGAATCCATAAAAATCCTAGAAGAAAATGTAAGCCTCAAATTTTAGACATCATATGCAGCAGAATTTTCACCAATACATCACCTAAGGCAACAGAAACAAAGGAGAATGTGAACACATGGATCTACATCAAACTAAAAGTCTTCTGCACAGCAAAAGATACAATCATCGAAATGGAAAGGCAACCCACTCTATGGGAGAGCATAATTGCCCAGGATATAGCAGATAAGGGGTTAATTTCCAATATATAGAGAGTGTTCATACAACTCAACAAAAGGAAGAGAAAGAACCCAATTAAAAAATGGAAAGAAGAACTAAATAGACACCTCTCCAAACAGGCCATTCAAATGGCTAAGAGACATATGAAGAAATGCTCAACATCACTAAACATCAGAGAGATGCAAATTCAGACAACAATGAGGTATCACCTCAGACCTGTCAGAATGCCCACCATCAACAAATCATCAAACAACAAGTGTTGGCAAGGGTGTGGAGAAAAGGGGATTCTAGTACACTGCTGGTGGGAATGCAGACTAGTGCAGCCACTATGGAAAACACTATGGTGTTACCGCAAAAAATTAAAAATTGAACTCCCATTTGACCCAGTGATCCCACTTTTAGAAATATACCTTAAGAAGCCTGAAACACCAATCAGAAAGAATATATGTACCCCCATGTTTGTAGCAGCACTATTTACAGTAGCTAAGATCTGGAAACAGCCCAAGTGTCCATCAGTAGACGAATGGATAAAAAAGCAGTGGTACATATACACAATGGAGTACTATACAGCTGTAAGAAAGAAAGATCTCTTATTTTTTGAGACTACATGGAGGGACCTGGAAAGTATCATCCTAAGCAAAACAAGCCAAACAGAGAAAGACAAGTATCATATGATCTTACTTATTTGTGGAATATAATGAACATAACAGTCTGAGGAATGGGATTGTCCCAGAGACTTGGAAGTGGGATATGGAATGACAATCCCCAGAAGAGTGGGTGGTGGGGAAGAGATAAACCACATAATTGATATGCATGAATCAATGGACATGGACAACAAAGTTGGGGATAGGTCAGGGAGGGAGGGGGATGGGTGAATCAGTGGGGGGGAAAGGAGAAATGTTTGTAACAAAAATAAATTAATTATTTTAAAAAAAAGATATATCAAAAATCGAAGAAAACAAAAGAAAGCATGGGTGATTGGTAAGTAGATAATGCTGCTCAGGGGAAAGTCTTTGGATTACAATCCCTTAGCAGAGGAGCTTGCAGGTTTTCACTCAAAACCTCAGAATCATTTGCTAGCCCACATGTACTGGCTCCGCCTTCATTCCCAACCATTGTTTTCTCCTGGACAGCAGAATACTTACCTGTGTCCTCTTCTTGCAAACACATTCAGAGAATTGTTTCCCATTTTTCCATCCCTCTAGCCCCAATGTGATTTAAGTCCCACAAAATCTAGAACATTGCTACTCAAAGTGTGGGCCATGTGCTCACTTCGGCAGCACGTATACTAAAATTGGAACGATACAGAGAAGATTAGCATGGCCCCTGTGCAAGGATGACATGCAAATTCGTGACGCATTCCATATAAGAAAAAAAACAAAAAACAAACAAAAAACAAAGTGAGGTCCATGGAGTAGCATTGAGGTTACCTGGAGGCTTGTTATAAATGCAGAATCTTAGCCTCAGAATTAGCATTATACGTAATAAGATTTCCTAGTAATTTGTATGCATGTTAACTAACATTTGATAACCTCCCATCTAGAAAGAATGACTGAGAGACAAATGAGACTCATTTGCCCAGAGCATGAGGATGCCTGATTCTGATTATACCTATTGGGATTATTTCTCAACACGTTCATCTTTCCAGCTAAATTTTCTAAAAGAATCAAGTTATGGTGTTTAAACCACTCAAGAGAATGTGAGCATCCTCATGTTCCTTCATGCTTGTTTTCAAGACTGATTTTATTAAATTCAACATCCTCTCCATGTCTGCTTCCTGTCCCCCACCCCCAACTTTGACACTTTCTTTGCTACTCTGAAATTTCACTGTCCCACCCTGCACCATCCTCTTTCCTTCTTATCATTTATCACTATACAATGTATTATTTCACTTATTTATCTTGTTTACTGTCAGTCTCCCCTGCCAAATGTTAACTTCATGAAGGCAGAAATTATTGCCTGCTTTGTTCATGATGTATCACCAAAAACCAGAACAGTGCCAGGCATTCTGTAAGTACTTAATGAATATTTATAGAATGACTTAATGAATTCACCTTTCCCCTCATTTCCACTGCCAGTTAATTCTACATTTGTGGTGATTCTTGCTTTTGTCCTTTTTTCTCTTAAGCTGCTGCCATGTTTGTTCAACTCTCATGGTTTCTCAGAACTATTACAAGGGCCTGCCACCTGCTAGCTAATAAAATCTGGCAAGTTATTTAAATCATCATAGTTCCTCATGTAAAAATGGAGATAATAATAGTACAGACTCATAAGACTGTCATGGGGTTTAGGCACATATATAATGCGTGTATAGTGCTTGGCCCAGTGGTCAAGCAGAATAGATACTCAGAGAATATTAACTAGTTATCTCTACCCTGGGCTAGTTCTGGCTTAGCTTTCCTGTCTTGTCTTCTGCCCCATATGTCCCTGAATCCTACACTTTGGCTCCAATGAATCACTTGAGGCTATCCAAATATGACATACAACTTTATCTTTTATACATAATAAATAGCAGGAGATGAAAAGCAGGCATGATCAGCTAGCTATTTCTTTTTCTCTGCCATATAAAGTATTGCTGGACCAAGGAAGAGAGAGCTGGAGAACTCTCTCTCTTTTAAAAAAAAAAAATATAGTAAACAGAAACTAAGATGACTATTTCTAGTGTTTTTTGTTGGGCCTAGAAATATTGGCTAAACTGATTCATAGATTTTCAATATTTTATATGAGAATATTGAGGTCCAGGAAGAATAAGGAATGTACCTGATGTTACACAGCAAGACAGTAGCTAATTGGGCAAAATTATTTATTTTCCTAATCTTAGTGCTTCTTATTCTACACCATGCTGGCGATAAACCCTGAAGAGTCTTGTCTTAGAAAAGCTCATTTCCCATACCCCTGAAGACAATTACCTTAGATGCAGCAGACACAATTTGAGATGGTAACTAAACCATTTTGCTAAGTTGAGAGGAGGTGTTGTGGCGCGAGAGAACCGAGATAGTAGCTTATCAAGCAGATCCGTGAGCCCCTCACAGATCTTTCACGGAGACACAGGCAGACGCCTCTACATAGGTGATAGAGATTGAACAAGCTGTAAAAAACCAGGGAGTTACTCGGTGACTACATGGGTTTGTACAGGCATTTACCTGGGTGAAGGCCGACGACCAGCGTGAGAAACTGCAACAGCGAGATCATGCTCCTCGAATGAGAGACTGGTGCTGGAGACTTCATTTCAGCGAACTTCATTCTGAGGTCATTTGAAAGGGCTTCTTACTGAAACTTCTTCTTCCTTTTCCTCTTAGAGGTGTGGTAAGTTTGTTCAGGCTAAACCAACAGTCTTAATTCTATTATTATTCTACTTACTACTTTTTTCTGAGCAAAGTACCAAAACCTTAAGAGTGCAGTATGATTTGAATTTTTTTGCTTTCCATCTATATGCTTTTAAAACATTTTTTATTGTGAAAAAATAACCAAAATACACTGTGATTGCATAACCTAAATTTTAGTGTTTTTATCTATATAATTCAGTGGCATTAACTATATTCACATGTTGTACAACCACCAACTTAACCAATTTCCAAAGTGTTTTCATTACCTGAGATAGTATTATGATTTATAAGAATATTCTCAAGTATATTTGGACTTGGGGGTTGAGGAATAGTGGTGGAATAAATGAAAGCTACACAGACCATCTTCCAGGACCAAACTGTAATTACAACTAAAACAAACACAAGACATCTGGAAGAACCAACTGATGAGCAGCTGGAGAGAACCCTTATAACCAGGGATGTAAATAGGATCCCAAATTGAGACTGATAGGAGGTGTGGAGGCATGAGAGGGCTAGGTGGGTTCCTATAGACAGCAGCTCTGGGCTTTCTGCTATGAAAAGCTTCCTCTGAGAAGTTGGGGGTTTAAACCACAAGCCGGCTCCCCAGCACAGAGTGGTGGAACAGGGAAAGGTGCCCACATAATGCCTGCTTGAGAAAATCACCAGAGCAGAGGTTCTTTCTGGCAAGGAGAGGCGATGTGAACATCAGCACTTTCCTGAAGGGCGGGGCACTAAATTACAGCTGCAGCCACTCACCTTGGGCTCTGGCAGAGGAGGTCAAACTGGACTGGAGCTGCATGAGGAGAGCCAGGGGTTCATGGCTTTGGGGAGAGAGCTGGGAAGGAGGTCATCAGGAGCCCTATGCTGTCACTCCCCCACATGGCAGTAGCTATATTTCACAAGTATCTCCTTCACATCAGAGTGACCTTAGGGAGAAGCAACTGCCCCTCCCTTAAAAATTTAGCCCTACCCAGCTAGGAGAAGCACAGTCCAAGGCATATTAACTGCCAGAGACTATCAGCCAGACTGCAGGCAAAGACAAAGTTCTGGGCACTCTGACACTTAGGCCTGGCTCATGGCCATTGGTCATTGGGTTTTTAGGATCTGGGGTCAGAGATGAGAAGGTTGCTGCCTGGGCTCCAGTGCTGAGTCATTAACTCCTGCTGCAGAAAACATTTTCTTCTCAGAGCAGCTTCAGCCTGGAGGAAAGCAATTGCCCCACCTGCTGGAAATCTTCTTACTCTACCCACCTGAGGGATTTTTTATTCAGCTGAGGGCTTCAAACTGGGGCATATTAAGTAACAGAGGCTAAAAATTAGCCTTCAGGCAAAGGCTGTTGGATAATTTAATCTTTTCCTGGCCTGTGACTCTACCCAGCAAAGTAAGACTAGCCATTGGTGTTCAGTGTGGTCCCTTCCATACTCATCCAAACCAAAGAGAGGGAACCACAATCTGTGCAACATCAGTACTCACAGGGAGATTTTGGAAGGCTCCAAACTCTGCTGAGACATCCAAAATGGTAAAACAAAGAAACAAATCCCAAAGGAAACAACAAGAGAATTCTACAGAAGAATGGCTAAATGAAATGGAGAAAAGCAAGTTCTCAGATGCAGAATTCAGAGTAATGGTTATGAGAAAGCTCAACAACTTGAGTAAATATATAGAAACAATAAAAATCAACCACCTGGAAATGAAAAACAACAGAAGCAGAACTGAAGAATAACATACCAGAAATAAAGAACACATTGAAAGAAATATCCAGCAGATTAGAGGAAGCTTAAGATTGGATAAGTGAATTAGTAGACAGGGTAGAAAAAACAAACAAACACACATACACACACACACATCAGAGAACCAAAAAGAAAAATAATTGAAAAACAGAACAGTTTAAGAGAGCTGTAGGAAAACATGAAACATAACAACATCTACATTACTAAAAAAAAAGAAAGTGAGCAAGTGTTAGAGAATCTATTTGCAGAAATAACAGCAGAAAAAATTCCTAACTTGGTGAAGAAAAAAAGGCATAAGTTCAGGAAGCACAGAGAGCCACAAACAAGAAGAACTCAAAGAGGCCCACACCAAGAAACATCACAATTAAAATGCCAAAAATAAAAGACAAAGAAAAATCTTAAAGGTAGTGAGAGAATAGCAACAGGCTACCTATAAAGAAGTCCCCATAAGGCTCTCAGCTCATTTCTCAACAGAAACACTACAGGCCAGAGAAGAATGGCATGAAGTATTCAGGTAATGAAAAACAAGGATCTGAACACAAGACTACTCTATCCTACAAGGCTATCATTCAAAATAGAAGGTAAAATAAAGAGTTTCTCAGACAAAAAAAAGGCTAAGGGAATATATGAGCACTAACTCAGCATTGCAAGAACTGTTAAAAGAACTGCAGTTATAAGCAGAAGAAATATATAGAGAAACATAGGCATAATAAATAAAAATGGCAATAAATAAGTACATATCAATAATAACCTTAAATGTAAATGGATTAAATGCTCTAATCAAAAGACACAGAGTAGCTGAATGAATAAGTAAGCATCACTCATATATATGTTGTTTACAAGAGACCTACCTCACAACAAAGGACTCACACAGGTTGAAAGTAAAGGGAAATAAACATTTTTTTGAAGCAAATGGAAAAAAAAAAAAAAGCTGATGTGGCGCGGTGGTTGAGTATTGGCCCATGCATCAAGAGGTTGCCGTTTTGATTCTCAGTCAGGACACATGCCCAGGTTGTGAGCCAAATCCCAAGTGAGGGGCATGCAGGAGGCAGCCAACTGATGTTCTCTCTCACTGATGTTTCTATCTCTCTCTCCCTCTCTTTAAAATCAAAAAGAAAAAAAAGAAAAAACCTGGGGTAGCAATTCTCATATCTAATAAAATAGACTTCAAAATGAAGGCTATAACTAGAGACAAAGAAGGCCACTATGTTATATTAAAAGGATCTATCCAACAGGAGGATATAACCTTGGTAAATATATATATATGCCCAATACAGGAGCACCAAAATATATTTTAAAACTTCAGGAGTACTTCAAAGGAGGAATCAATAGCAATACAATCATAGCAGGGGGAATTCAACACCTCACTGACATCACTGTATAGATTCTTTAGACAAAAAAACTAACAAGGAAACAAAGTCCTTAAATGATGCATGAGATCAAATAAATTAATAAATATTTAGAGAGAATTACACCTCAAAATTGCAAAATACACTTTCTTCTCAAGTATACACAGGACATTCTCAAAGCAGACCACATGTTAGGACACAAACTAAGTCTCTATAAGTTCAAGGAGATTGAAATCATATCAAGCATTTTCTCAGATTACTATGGCATGAAACTAGAACTCAATTATAATAAAAACACTCAAAAACATTCAAACACATGGAGGCTAAATAGTATGTTATTAAACAATGAAAGCATTACAAAGGAGATCAAGGAAGAAATACAAAACTTCCTGGAAGTCAATGAAAATGAACACACAACAACATAAAATCTATGGGATGCATCAAAACAGTCCTGAGAGGGAAGTTCAATTTTTGTTTGTTTTGTTTTGTTTTTATCCTCACCCGAGGACATTTTTCCATTTATCGTACAGATAGAGTGGGAGGGAGAGAGAGGAAGAAAGACAGAGAGAGAGAGAGAAACATCAATGTGAAAGGGACACATCGAGTGGCTGCCACCCACACAACCAACCAGGGCCGGGGACAAACTGCAACAGAGGTAAATGCCCTTAGTGGGAACCGAACCCGGGTCTCTCCGGACCGCAGGCCACGCTCTAACCGCTGAGCCAAACCGGCCAGGGCAGGGAAGTTCAATTTTTAATAGTTTAATCCTAAAACTGAAAGAACTAGAAAGTAAACATAAAGAAAAACCCAGAGCAAGTAGAAGGAAAGAAATCATAAAGTTCAGAGTGGAAATAAATGGCATAAAGACTAAAAAAATAACAAAAAATTAATGAAACAAAAAACTGGTTCTTTGAAAAGATAAACAAGATTGATGAACCTTTAGCCAGAGTCATCAAGAAACAAAGAGGACCCAAATAAATAAAATCAGAACAAAAGAGGTGAAGTAAGACCTGACAACACAGAAATACGAAAGAGAAAAAAGTCAAATAAAGAAAATGAGAAATGAGCCCTGGCCATTTTGGCTCAGCAGTTAGAGTGTCGACCTGTGAACCAGAGTGTCCCAGGTTCAGTTTCTGCTAAGAGCACGTGCCTCAGTTGCAGTTTGTCCCCAGCCCCGGTTGGGGTCATGTAGGTGGCAACCAGTCAATGTGTCTCTCTCACATCGATGTTTTTTTCTCACTCTCTTCTTCCCTCTCTTCCTCCTGCTCTATTAAAAAAAACAACAAAAACAACAACAACAACAACAACAACAAAAAACCAAGAAAAAAAGAAAAGAAAATGAGAAATGAAACAGGAGAAGTAACAACCGATACCACAGAAACAAAGGATTATTAGAAAATACTGTGAACAATTATACGCCAACAAATTGGACAGCCAAGGTGAAACTGACAAATTCCTAAAATTACACAGTCTCCCAAAACTGAACCAGGAAGAGACAGAAAACTTGAACAGATCAATAACAACTAAAGAAATTGAAGCTGTAATCAATAAACTTCCAGCAACAAAAGCCCAGGTCCAGACAGCTTTACAGGGGAGTTTTACTGAACATTCAAAGAAGAACTAATACCCATTCTCTTCCAACTATTCCAAAAAATTCAAGAGGAAAGAATTCCAAGCTCTTTTCATGAGGCCAGAATAATCCTAATTCCAAAACCAGATAAAGATACTATTAAGAAAGAAAACTACAGACAAATATCTCTGATGAACATAGATGTCAAAATCCTCAACAAAATATTACCAAATTGGATCCAGCTATATATTAAAAAATTATTCACCATGCCCAAGTCAAATTCATTCCAGAGATTCAAGGCTGGTACAATATTCACAAATCAATAAATGTAATACGCTACATAAGCAAAATGAAAGATAAAAATCATGTGATCATATCAGTAGATGCTGTAAAAGCACTTGACAATACCCAGCACCCATTTCTGATAAAAACTCTCAGCAAAGTGTAAATAGAGGAATCATACCTCAACATAATAAAGGCCATATATGAAAAACCTATGGTCAACATCAATTCAATGGGCAAAAACTAAAAGCATTTCCCTTAAGAACAGGAACAAGACAGGGATGCCCACTGTCACCACTCTTATTTAACATAGTACTAGAAGTATTAGCCGAAGCAATTAGACAAGAAGAAAAAATAAAGGGATCCAAATTGGAAAGGTGGAAGTGAAACTGTCATTATTTGCAGATGATGTGATATTGTACATAGTAAACCCTAAAGACTCCATCAAAAATCTACTAAATTTAATAAATGAACTTAGCAAAGTAGCAGGATACAAAATTAACATCCATAAATCAATGGCATTCTTGTACACTAAAAGAACACTCAGAAAGGGTAACAAACAAACTAAATAACAATCTCATTTATTATTGCAGTAAAAAACAAAACAAAAACAAAACAAAACATACTTAGGAATAAACATAACCCAGGAGGTAAAAGGCCTGTTCTCAGAAAACTACAGATAGTAGGTGGGGAAAGCAGGAGGGAAGTGGGAGTGGGGAGGAGGGGGTTAAATGGGAGAAAAGGGGGGGGGCATCTGTAATACTTTCAACAATAAAAAAAGTTTTTCTAGTTATAAACTTTCAATTTATGAACTATTATAAAGATATACATCAGAGAAGTTAATTGATTCTTTCTGCCATGAGATGACACTATCATATTTGTGTTTTGGAAAGATTACTCTGGCTGTGGTGTAGAGAATGGATTGGACTGGAGCAAGTTTGGCTGCAGGAGGTAAAGTGCTGTTGTCTATGTAAGAGATGGTGGTGGCTTAGATTGATGTAGCTACTGGTGGATGAAAGAAGAAAAGATGGACAGACCGTAAAACCATTCAGGAGTTGTGTTGGGGGTTTTCAAGACCACTTTCTGGTTTAGTGACTTGCTGGGAAACCTCATAGGATTCAGCTTATAGTCATATCCCTGGCTATGATTTATTACAGTGAATAGAAATAAAGTAAATTCAGCAAAAGGGACCCGGAGTGGTGTGCAGAAGAAATTAGATATAAGTTTCCCAGCGTCTTCTTCTAGTGGAGTCACACAGGATATGCTTAATTTCTCTAGCAACATGTCATGATAAGATGTGTGAAATGTTGTCTACTAAGGAAGCTTATCTGCACCTAGGATTCCAGGGTTTTTATTAACAGTCAGTAATGTATGTACTCTCTGTTTTGCATGTACCAAAATTTCAGAATCTCTGAGGGAAAGTAGATATTTATTACAAAACAAATTGTTTGTAAAAATAGTTTAAGTTCAGTGAACCACTCTTATCAGGGAATGATATAACTCTCCCAAACTCCAAGTTCCCAGGCACTAGTCAAGGGCCAACCTTGTAAGCATACCTTTCAAAGGATAGCAGTCTTAGACTTACAGTGTTAACTCTTCTCTGTGTTTTCTAACTCTTAACTATGTGTCCTGCACAGGAAATGAAGTTGATATATTTCCTCTGCATTTTACGCAAAGTTTGGAAACCTTTTAAGATAATATACTTTGGAGGAAATACCTTTGTTACTTAGATAGGTGCCAAAGGGTTGTCGCATTCCAGGTAAGCCAGTTAAAGGCTTTGCAAACTGTAATATATTCATTAATTAATCAAAATATTAAACATTGAGGACTTTCTCTGTAACTTGTACAGGGTCAGGCACTCTGGATACAAATGGTGAGCCAAACCAGACATAATCTGTACCCTGATGGAGCTCATAATCTAAAGGAGAAAGAAAGACACTTATAAAATAATCACAATAATATTTAAGGCATTTCAGGCAAAGGGAGAGTAAATTAAATAAAATATTCCAGAACCTCAGAGGACAATGAAAAAACACAATCAAAACCTGTTTTTACCTTCTCAAGTAGTTCCTGTATCAGCTTACAGAGTGTCTACACAGGGCTCTGAAATTCTTCCGGTTAGTGGTTCAATTTCAGTTAAACAACAACAACAAAAACAGATAAAAAGATGTAGCTGGGGAGCTGGGAGCCCAAGTACATCTGCAAAGAGTTGCTCAGAGCAGACCTTGCGCTTCTTTGATAAACAATGAGTAAAGGAAGTGGTTTCAGATCTAGATGTTTCCATTTGCTACCTTACATACCACCTCATAGCAAGTCACTTCCTCAGGGTTTTATGAAACATCTGGAGGCCCTGCACCCTCGTATCTGAGAGAACCACAGTCTCATTCTCTTCATTGAAAAGTCAGGTCTTTTGCCCAGCTGGTGTGGCTCAGTAGTTGAGTACTGACCCATGCACTAAGAGGTTGCCGGTTTGATTCCTGGTCAGGGCACATGCCCAGGTTGTGGGCCAAATCCCCAATGGGGGCATGCAGGAGGCAGCCAATCGATGTTCTCTTTCATTAATGCTTCTCTCTCTGTCTCTCCTTCTCCCTTCCTCTCTCTCTAAAATCAATAAAGTTAAAAAAAAAAAAAAGAAAAGAAAAGAAAAGTCAGGTCATTTTACCTTTCCTCTAGGTGGCTCTTTGGTTGACCCAGATTCTCCAATTCCCTAGACCCAGACTCTGAAAGTGGTTTCTAGGACATCTTTTCTTCTCCCTATATCTGGGTCCCAGTCCAAGTTCAGTTCAACAAATATTTATTAAGTTCTACTAGGCATTGGCTTGTGTGATGGGGTGCTAAGAATGAAAAGATGAATGGGACAAACTGGTCTGAAGGGAGATGGACCCCGAAGCACAGGTTTAAGGGCCCAATTTTTCTATTGATCAAGGCTGAACTCCCTGCCCTACTTCTATCATATGCTTCTGCTGTCTCTGGTTTCTTGTTTCTGGTATCTCCCTGTCTCTAGTTTTTTCATCCTCTTTCAGGGTGCTAGTTATCCCTCTCATGTCAGACTTCCATTTCCTTATTCGCTGCCTTATTACCCACAATCCCTTGGTCTCTCTCAGGGCCTGAGTTTTCAAATTACACAGAGCCCTTATCATGTTGTCGATAGAGCCTTTGCTGTTTCAGCTACTTACTGTATATCTTCTTTGTTTATGAAAAATGAAACAAAGACACAAAAAGAATATTATATTTTAAATATTTTTTGTGTGTTTACCACCTGAAATGGAGCCGGTAGTCTCATTTCTCAAGCACTCACAAGGTAAAATTTGTGGAAAATGCTTTGTTAATGAAAATTTACAAATGCATAGAATAAGTGATACCATGTAGAGAAGATAAGATACCTGTTATAAACATGCACCTATCTTCCGAAATTGATTTAGCAGCATTATCTACCAAAAAATATAAGCTTCATGTTCATAATAATTAATCCACTGAATTTTTTTTTTTTATCCTCACCCAAGGATATTTTTCCATTTTTTGTACAGATAGAGTGGAAGGGAGAGAGAGGAAGGGAGAGAGAGAGAGAAAGAAACATCGACGTGAAGGGACACATCGAGTGGCTGCCACCCGCACGACCAACCAGGGCCGGGGACAAACTGCAACCGAAGTACGTGCCCTTAGCGGGAACCGAACCCGGGTCTCTCCAGACCGCAGGCCGACGCTCTAACCGCTGAGCCAAACTGGCCAGGGCAATCCACTGAATTTTTTTTTTGACAATCTGAGGTTCATTTAGACACTGTGAACACAAAGAAGAGGAAGAAAAGTTTTTTTTCTTTAATTAATTAATTTATTTTTGTTACAGATGTTTCTCCTTTTCCCCCCACTGATTCCCCCATCCCCCTCCCTCCCTGCCCTGTCCCCAGCTTTGTTGTCCATGTCCATTGTTCATGCATACATGCATATAAGTTCTGTGGTTTATCTCTCCCCCTCTTTTGAGAATTGTCAGTCTGTACCCCACTTCCACGTATCTGGGACTATCCCATTCCTCAGACTGATATGTTCATTATATTCCACAAATAAGCGAGATCATATGATACTTGTCTTTCTCTGTTTGGCTTGTTTTGATTAGGATAATACTTTCTAGGTCCCTCCATGTAGTCTCAAAGGATAAGAGATCTTTCTTTCTTACAGCTGCATAGTACTCCATTGTGTATATGTACCACAGCTTTTTATCCATTCGTCTACTGATGGACACTTGGGCTGTTTCCAGATCTTAGCTATTGTAAATAGTGCAGCTATGAACGTGGGGGTACATATATTATTTCTGATTGGTGTTTTAGGCTTCTTAGGGTATATTCATAGAAGTGGGATCACTGGGTCAAATGGCAGTTCAATTTTTAATTTTTTGAGGTAACACCATATTGTTTTCCATAGTGGCTGCACCAGTCTGCATTCCCACCAGCAGTGTACTAGAGTCCTCTTTTTTCCAAACCCTCGCCAACACTTGTTGTTTGATGATTTGTTGATGGCGGCCATTCTGAGAGCTGTGAGGTGATACCTCATTGTTGTTTTAACTTGCATCTCTCTGATGATTAGTGATGCTGAGCATTTCTTCATATGTCTCTTGGCCATTTGTATGTCCTGTTTGGAGAGGTGTTTATTCAGCTCCTCTGCCCATTTTTTAATTGGGTTCTTTGTCTTCCTTTTGTTCAGTTATATGAACACTCTATATATATTGGAAATTAACTGCTTATCTGATATATCATTGGCAATTATGCTCTCCCATACAGTGGGTAGCCTTTCCATTTTGATGATTGTTTCTTTAGCTGTGCAGAAACTTTTGAGTTTGATGTCGTCCCATGTGTCCATTTTCTCCTTTGTTTCTGTTGCCTTAGGTGATATATCAGTGAAAATTCTGCTGCATATGATGTCTGAAAATTTGTTGCCTACATTTTCTTCTAGGATTTTTATGAATTCATGACTCACATTTAAGTCTTTTATCCATTTTGAGTTTATTCTTGTGTATGGCGTAAGTTGATGGTCTAGTTTCATTTTTTTGTATGTGGCTGTCCAGTTTTCCCAACACCAGTTATTTAAGAGGCTGTCTTTACTCCACTGTATGCTCTTGCCACTTTTGTCAAATGTCAATTGAGCATATGGCCTTGGGTCCATTTCTGGGTTGTCTATTCTGTTCCACTGGTCTATATGCCTGTTATTGTGCCAGTACTAGGCTGTTTTGATTACAGAGGCTTTGTCGTATAGCCTGACATTTTTTTAATGTGATCCCTTCAACTTTGTTATTCTTTTTCAAGATTGCTGTGGTTATTTGAGGTCTGTTTTTGGTTCCATATGAACTTTTGAAGTATTTGTTCTAGTTCTGTGAAGTATGTTGTTGGTATTTTGATGGGGATTGCATTGAATCTATAGATTGCTTTGGGTAGTATGGACATTTCAATGATGTTAATTCTTCCAATCAATGAACAAGGTATGTGCTTTTACTTTTTTATATCTTCCTCTATTTCTTTTTTTTCAATGTCCTGCAGTTTTCTGCGAATAGGTCCATTATTTTTTTGGTTATATTTATTTCTAGGTGTTTTAATTTTTTTGCCGCAATGGTAAATGGGATTGTTTTTTAGTTTCTCTTTTTGTGAGTTCATCATTGGTGGATAAGAATGCCATCAATTTCTTGACGTTAATTTTGTCCCCTGCTACTTTGCCAAATTCATTTCTTAACTCTAGTAAATTTTTGATGGTGTCTTTGGGGTTTTCTATGTATAGTATCATGTCATCTTCAAATAATGACAGTTTCACATCTTCCTTTCCAGTCTGGATCCCTTCTATTTTTTCTTCCTGTCTGGTTGCTGTGGCTAAGACTTCCAGTACTATGTTAAATAAGAGTGGTGAAAGTGGGCATCCTTGTCTTGTTCCTGTTCTTAAAAAAATGCTTTTAGTTTTTGCTCATTGAGTATGATGTTGGCTGTGGGTCTTTCATATATGTCCTTTATTATGTCACGATATAATCCCTCTATTCCCAGATTGTTGAACGTTTTCATCAGGAATGGGTGCTGGATTTTGTAAAATGCTTTTTTCAGCATCTATTGATATGATCATATGATTTTTATCTTTCATTTTGTTTATGTGGTGTATCACATTTACTGATTTGTGAATATTGTACCAGCCTTGTATCCCTGAGATGAATCCCACTTGGACATGGTGAATAATTTTTTTGATGTATTGCTGGATTTGATTTGCTAGGGTTTTGTTCAGGATTTTGGCACCTACGTTCATCAGAGATGTTGTTCTGTAGTTTTCTTTCCTTGTAGTGTGTTTTTCTGGTTTTGAATTAGAATTATGCTGGCCACATAAAACTACTTTAAAAGTCTTCCTTCTTCTTGAATTTTTTGAAATAGTGTGAAGGAGAATGGGTATTAGTTCTCCTTTGAATATTTGGTAATATTTCCATGTGAAGCCATCTGGGCCTGGGCTTTTGTTTGCTGGGAGAGTCTTGATTACATCTTCAATTTCTTTTGTTGTTATTGGTTTTCTATCTCTTCCCAGGTGTGCTGGTGGGCTCAGGTTGCTGGGTCCTAGCTAGTCCCACTGCCTCCTCCCAGGGAAGACCTGGGATCTTCCAAAATGGTGGGACCTCCCCACGGCACAGGGAGAAGCGCCCTGAAGGACCACTTACCACTGTAGCCAGTTGCTTGTGTCAACAGCACAGGAACTTTCTGTTCCGCAGCTCTGCTCTGCTTGGGTTTGGTCATCCAACTTTACGTCCACTCACACTCTTTCACACACTCGCTCACTCTCTCACACACTCACCCTCCCTGTGGTCCTGCCCACTGCCATCTTCCTCCTTTTTAAAATTATTTCTATGAGTTATTTTATTATTTACATTTTACAATTTATCTTTTTGTTGAGCCAAACCAGCCAGGGCATGTGAGAAAAGTTTTCTGCCATTATTTCTTCAAACAGGTTCTCTAATCCTTGCCCACTTTCTGGAGGAAAAAAGGGGAAAGAGAGAAGTTGTGTATGAAGGGAGAGGTAGAAAGAGGAAGATAAGAAATGCTGGAAGAAAGGAAGGGGACACAAAGGGTTGGGAGAAGAGAGGTGGAGGAAGAGGCGGTGAGGAGTAAGAAGAGGAAACGGAGGGGGCAGAGGTGTGGAAGAGGAGGAGAGAGGGGAAAAGAGAGAGGAGCTACCCTGTCTTCTAATTTGCTGATCTGATCCTCGCCT